CACACACACACACACACACACACACACACACACACACACACACACACACACACACACACACACACACACACACACACACACACACACACACACACACACACACACACACACACACACACACACACACACACACACACACACACACACACACACACACACACACACACACACACACACACACACACACACACACACACACACACACACACACACACACACACACACACACACACACACACACACACACACACACACACACACACACACAGACAGACATCATCGCGAAAATAGTCAAAACGGATTCAGGGGACCTCAAAACTTAGAAATCCGTCGAAAACTCTAAGTCGAAAAAAATCATGATTTCTATACTTTCCTTATATCTGTATACAGATAGGAAAGTAATTATATCTTTATACAGATAGGAAAGTAAAAAGTAATTTCGAGAAAATCAACTTTTAATGTCATCATTAAACTCAACTTTTTTATTGCTTAAATTATTAATAATGTCCTTTTGTGTAGTTCGTTGTAATTTGGTTAATATATATTATAAAAACCTATCGTCAATTTTATTAGGTGCCGACTTTTCTTAAATAATTATTTTGTAAAATGTCCTTATAAAACTCATTTCTAGAAGTTTTCTGGATTTCTGCTTTATGTTATCGTATAATTGAATTGACTAATTGTGTGTTTATTTGAGGGTATAACTCTTTTTTGTTAACAGAGTCTTTGTATTGTTCTATATCCTATTTCACTAACAAAAATGTATAATAATGAATCTTACATCAAACGGAAAAATACATTTTAGGATGTCCTACTAGGTATAAACTTAAAAACTAATTATTATGTATATTGCAACTATGCTTAAATAAATGAATGTTTTTATACCTGATTACAGCAACAGAAAGACATTTTTTAGAACATAATGATATAGACAACTCAAACTAGTCAAAATCCACATTATTTAAGTTGTTCAATGTTTTTTGGGACGTTTTTTAGTAAATAAAAAATACATGAATAATGTGATGTTCTTGTTTAGTTTGTTACTACATAATATAGTTTATTAGTAATTTAGATGCAAATTACGTACTATTTATAGAATAAAAAATCTGATGTGTCCAACACATGACTTTCCTATCTAGTTATTATAGGCATTTTCCGGTTATTTTGTACAACCTATTGCAGCATCTCTATAAATGTTTAGAGGATAAACTAAATATATACATTTTACACATACATCTACCTCGAAACATTTTTTTATAGATATTCATTGAAAACGAAAATACAGAAAAATTTAAATTTAGCACTTTTCCATTACGGTCCATTTTAGAAAAATCATGTATAAACAAAAATTATAGAAATCGATATCGCAAACAACTTTTAGTTCAACAATTTTCATAAAAATCAGAATTTTGCACATTTTGTCAAATTTCTCGAATACGGACCATTTCAGAAAATTTTGACATAAAGCAAAAATTATAGATAAAAATATTAGAAGTAACTTTTATTTGAACAATTTTCTTCTCCAAACATAAATAACAGATATATTCCATAAAATATAAAAACGGCCTCCCATAAAGTACCCCCCCAGATGTTCCGACTTTGTCCAAAATCTAATCATTTCACGTCAGGCCGAAATAAACCTTAAGTTTAAAATTTAATGTTTTTTCCTTTATCCGTTTTTGAGTTTTCTTCAAATTTCGAAATTTACACATTTTCTCAAATATCTCGAATACGGTCCATTTTAGAGAAATTATGTATAGGACAAAAATTATAGAGAATTATATTACAAACAACTTTTATTTGAACAATTTTTAAAAAAATATATTTTTTTTACATTTTGTCAAATTTCTCGAATACGGACCATTTTAAGAAAATTTTGCATGAAACAAAAATTATAGATAATTATATTAGAAGTAACTTTTATTTGAAGAATTTTCTTCTCCAAACGTAAATAACAGATATATTCCATAAAATATAAAAATAACCACCTATAAAGTACCCCCCCAGATGTTCCGACTCTGCCCAAAATCTAATCAGCTCATTGGACGCTGAAACAAAGCTTAAGTTTAAAATTTGGTGTTTTTCTGTGTATCGGTTCATGAGTTATGCGTTATACAGACACACACACACACACACACACACACACACACACACACACACACACACACACACACACACACACACAGACAGACACACACACACACACACACACACACACACACACACACACACACACACACACACACACACACACAGACATCATCGCGAAAATAGTCAAAACGGATTCAGGGGACCTCAAAACGTAAAAATCCGTCGAAAACTCGAGGTCGAAAAAAATCATGATTCCTATACTTTCCTTATATCTGTATACAGATAGGAAAGTAAAAATCACTCAAAATATCCAAATATTTATACCTATATCTTTATATTTCGAACACGAAAACTAACTATTTTATGTGTTTGGCTCTGAATAGTTTTCTTAAGAATTTTGTAACCTTTTTGCTTTTTTGGTATTCTCCATATCAGCATATCTTTGAGTTTCATTTTGTTTAAATCTAAAATTAATTAAGTACATAATATGAAAAAAGAATATACAAAATTAGTTGATTAAATTACAGTTTAAAAAAAATTGTCAACAAAAACGTGGCTTTGTCTTTTTCCTTAAACATTCTTTTAGTATTTTAGTAGCAGATAAATATGGTAAGGAAGTAGTGACAGGATTGATTATTATACCTCTCTCGTCGAAATTTACTGAAATTGCATTTTTCTTTAATATTTTCCTCCCCTGAGGTCTGTAATAAAAATCTTTATTGGCATAAAAAGTTATTCAGGTGGTCACTTGTTGAATTCCTAAATTTTGGAACCATTTATTTCTTTTTATCATTTTAAGAAAAGGAAACCTACAATAAAAACATAATAATAAACTTTACGAAGATGTGATATTAAAATAAAGTCACAGGTTTAAATTTTCTTTATTTATGTTAATAAGTACCTAATTAACTTTTACTACAATCATTATGAGACAGATAAAGACGAACTTAGCTGGGGTTTATTCCCTCTAAATTTTACTTTTTCGAAAATAAGAAAGTTTAATTGCAAATTAAAGATTGCCTAATGCAACAATCAGGTTGTGTTTGTACTTACCTATGACATAATCTTGAAGAAGCATTTTTAACAGGTCTTTTACACATAAAGCATGTTTTCACCATATTATTACAGATAATAAATCTTAAATATACATTTAAAACCCTTACAAGGCTATATATAATTATATTTTTCGTAAAATACAAATCAATAATTGACATGTGTCAGAAAGTGTCAGAACTGATTAAATAAGCCAATTACAGAAGAGGTATTTCCCTCCTCGGAGGGAGTAGATCTTGCATACAAAATTTAGCACGGGGAAGGGGGGGGGGGGAAGACTCCCTCTAGTAGTATTTGCTCGGAGGAAGAAAACTATTATTATGCAACAAAGTTGCTTTGATTTATATTAGCTTTAAAACTAAATGTCATGGTATTGGTTTACGAAATCAACCGCATTAAATAACTAGGTGCGTCAATATTGTCTTCAAAGCCTCTCGTTTATTTCATAAACAAAATACCACCAATTTAATATATTAACACTTATTACCGTCACAATTTTTTTAACCAAATATAAATATTTGTCTAAATTCTACTGTCCATTGTTTTAAACTAAACCAACTACCAGCAAAATGACGAAGTGATAATGTTTATGTAAATACATTGCTTAAATCTTTTTTAAAACATCTTAATATTCGTCGATTGAAAATAATTTTTAAGCTGTTGTTAAATTTCACACATTGTGTTAGTTACTGATTAAAATGTTACAAGAAAAATATTGATAAACCTACTTTTGTTTTTTTTTTGTAAACAATTTATTAATAGCAATTTTTTACATCCAAAATTATTGTTTTAACTTGTACTGATAAGTACAAATTGTTTTAACACCTTTCCCTATTTCTTTTATATTTCACCGTGGTGAATTATATAAAAAATCTCCCGCTGAGAAATAATAGGTAGTGCGCACCCCCTACATCACACACCACCAATGCTTTTAAAAGCGTAACGATACGCTATAACGTAACAGCAGCGTTGTTTAGGGGGTGTTAATAGTAAATATGTAAATATGTTTTCACATTGGTTCGGTTGTTGTATTTCACTGAATTAATATTTAAAGGGATACAAATAAATTGGAGCCAGTTAAGACGAGTAGGTATATCCCGATTTATTAAAAATGCCCAAAATATCTTACTGTGAAATGTTTGTTCCATATTTGATTAATTTGGTAAATAATCTGTTTGACCACTCCTTATTTCGATGCATATACGTCAATCTTACTTTCTGTGGCAGCTTTAATTGAAGGCAAAGGTTCAACTCTTCTATAACTATCTAAAAACCCCTTGTATCAGGGAATTTTTATTAATATTTAATAATAATTGAAGAGTTTATTTGAAAAACAACACATGTCCATTTGATTGAAATTTTGGCTTATCAGTTATTCTCATAGAAAAATAATATGTACATATATTTCAAGCATCCAATACTGTAAAAACACCAGTTGTCCGGGTTAAAACTAGTGCCAAAGTATATCTAGTTTTAGAAGAACACCTGATGTCCACGCGGTTTGTTGTAAAAATAACACATATGCAGGGGCGGTTAGTGACCAAAATTTTGGGGGTTCACAGCAGCAGAATATATAGCCCCGTACAGATATAGATAAAAAACTGTCAGTGTTTTAGAAAGGTATTTTATAAACTTTTTAAAACACTGAAAGTTTTTTTCATACATCTGTACTGATACCTATATTCTGTCACTGTGAACCCCCCACGAGCCGCCACTGCACATATGTTCATATTATAGATAGTTTAGTTCTGAGGTAACTAGATGTTGCTTATATTTTGTAATGGCCTTAATCGTTTTACTTTCTTAGTAGATTTTTGCATATTTTGACCGATTTTAAGTATTAATAGTATCTAAATATGGCAGAAAATATTCAACCTAGTACCTCTGGTGTTGTTGGTGACGAAAATTGTGAAGTTCGGGCTACAGATCAACCACGAAAACGCAAAAGTAAGCTGGCTAGAGCACAAAACACATAAGGGAGACAAAGTCGTTACAGCCAGAGCAATAGAAACTGACTGCAGGTAAGAATTTTATGTAACAATAAGTAGGTAGGTACATACTTTTGTTTTGACTAACTTTTGGTTATAGATGTAAGCGTTATAGATTTTTCCAGATTACAACACAAGAACAGCGTCCCGAGTTGCTTAAATGTTTAATGATATGAGGTCAAAAGATGAACAGGATTCATAGACTTATTACCGTAATACCTATCCAGAGGCGTCGCAGCCGAATTAATCCAAATATAAAAAGAACTGGTCCATCACATATGTTAGGTTGTAATTTAACTGGTACATAAATTAAGCAGGTTCCATTTTATTACTGAATTTGTTGTCAACCTATAAAATACAAAATCCCAATCAATAGATAACACGCAACACACAATACTTAAGTATATTGTGGGTTGCTGCCCTCACAACATATAGCCTCTTTTAAGTAAAAAATTCGATTACCTGGAAATGAAGTCAATGTGTGCGCTAAAACTCTTCGTAGTTTCTTTGGTTTAACTGAAATGCAGCTTCGTCGGATTAGAAATAACCCGGCTATGAGTGGATTTTCACCGAGGGATGGCCATGGAAAACACGCTAATAGGCCAAGAAAGACTAAGTCATTCGACGTAGAAATAATAATAGCACATATTGCTTCTTTCAAAGGCCGACAGAGTCAATATCCACGAAGACTTGACAAAAAGAAAGTGTACCTTCCATCAGAGTTAAATGTGAAAAAATGTATAATGCCTTCCTAGAACTTCACTCAACAACGATAGTTTCTTACTTTATTACAAAATATTTCAAACTTGATTTAACTTACTTGTAAGTTTTGTGACGAAACTGAAACTCAACTAAAACTCCCTAATATCGACCAGTCCAAAAAGGTTAAACTTGTCAGTACAAGAAACCTTTATCAAGCTAAAGCAAATGCGTTTTATGATATTAAGAAGAAAATTAAAACTAAATGTCAAAGCAATCGTAAAGTATCCAATAGCTTTCGATTTTATGCAGAATTTGCCTTTGCATAATCTAACAACAAACAAAGTATTTTATAGCAGGCAACTTTAGCATTATGTGTTTGGAATACCTGACATCAAAAGCAGTGACGCCAGTATGTATACATATCATGAAGGGATGGCGAAGCGTGGTCAAAACGAGGTGACATTCATGATATTTCACTATATCAACAATCATATTCAAGAAAGAATGGATGAAATCTGGCACTTCTCTGATGGTTGTCCAGGCCAAAATAAAAACTACGTTTTCATTCGTTTCGTGTACATACTTATGCACGTTCTAAAAATAGCCTCTAAGATAACACACATCTTCCCAGTTAAGGCACTCTTATTTAACCGTGCGATAGTGACTTTAGCCTCATTTCTCGTGTAAAAAAAGTTGTCCTTGATATTCCAGAAGAATGGAACGACCTTATACGAGAGTCAAGATATAAGCCCTCTCCATTCAGTATGATAAATACTGGAAAAGAGACTGAATGGTTTCTTATGGACGAAAGTTTGAAATCCTTCTTTTTGAAAAATCCCAAACCAAAAATTTCACAGAAACCAGCGCGAATGTATGGAGTATCGCCGCAGTATCCGGGTCAGGTTCTAGTACGTCAAAGTTATCATGGTCCTTGGACGTTTCATACCATTGCAGGGAAAAGGAACTCACAAGAAACAGCTCTAGAGGGAAAATCTTCTGATATTGAAATCATTAGTGACGATAACAGCAGCGGAGAATAAAAAAAGTGTTTTTTTTATGTAAGGACATGTGTTACTTTTCCAATATTCGTAAATTTTTTCAAATTTTTCGTGTTTTGTATTTTCAACCAAAATAAATATTAGGAAATGCTTCTGGCTTATTTAAGTTGTCGTTGTCCTCATCTCCTTGGGTAAGGTTTTTATAAAATTCATAATACCTTTCAGCAACGCCATGCTTGCATAGAAATTAAAGTTCGTGGCATTTTTTTTAATCAAAAGTGACGTTTTCTCTGCTTTAACTATGGGCTTTATCTAATTAATTACCTATAAGTTAGTAGTAAATCTAATTATGGAAAATTTCATTTAGTATGTAAAAATTTTAATTGGTATAGTTGGTTTTCTGGTAACAATTTTTATTTAAAATTAAGCAAATGTTTTAATGCTTTTTTTCCTATTTAAAAAATAAAAATTCAACAAACAAAACCGGATATTACAGCTGGTTTAAGATGTTCATAAAAAATATATTAAGACTACTATTACGCTACAGAACTTTGGCCCTTTCAGTCCTGAATTTTGTTTTTGATAAAAAAAATCGTTTTGTATTGTATGTCAGTTTAAAAACACATACTTAATACAGTAAGAAACTTTTTGGCGATATGCCATTACTGTGGACAACCGGACTAAATGATGACATATAATCAAAACATTTATTGAAGAAAAACATATTATTCGGAATGAAATAATGGTTCGTTTTTCCCATTTTACTATTAATTTTCAATTTTCGTTTTCACTTCTTTAGTTTTCAGTGAGGTTTTGGTTAGTTCCTAAAAAGAGAATATATTTTGATAACGTATACCTATTGTACGTTTGGAATAAAAATATATTAAATTTTCCGACTCAGTTGAAACTTTAGAATCAACTTTTATAGGATCAGCTCCTATCTTCTCCTCATCAAAATTATTTTCAATGTTTCGTTGTACATTTTCGCATTCCCTTTCCAATTCATCAACGTCTAGGAATGATAATAAGAGTCTATAAGATTATTTGGATTGAAACCAAAACGTGGGCAGTTACTTAGTCCTGAAGTACATTACAATGGACAATTATTTTTTTGTACATATCTAACAAACTGTTACATATTGTACCGTGTCCAATTATTAGTAAAATAATTTTTCAATATCTAAAAATGAACAGCATCAAGAGTAATAAAATATTTACTTACGTCTGCCTCTACTAGTTGATGTCGCCATTACCTACCGGACCAACAACCTATTTATTATTAACACGGAAGCCTACCTACACTTAGAAATAAAACCACGTATTCTAGACTGATGTTACAAAATACTAACGTAAATATTGGCAAAATGAAACATACCATACTGAATTACTGGTTGCAGAAGTTTATGTCCATTGTGATAGACGCCGGGACTGATAGAACACTATTAAAAAAGCTTAAGATATGTACTATCATACAAGAATATTAAGAGCTCAAATAATAAGTCAAGAGAAATTTGGTCTATCATTATTGACATGAGAGGTAAAAGTACCCATAAAGTATGCAGTGCAAATATAAATTCTAACGATTTCATTACATTTTATTGCAATATCATTGAAAATCTAACAACAAATCTAAATCGTACAATTGATCCTCAAGAAAAAATCTTCACTCGTTAAAAACTCATTTTTTTTAAGAGAAACAAATTCCTCAGAAATATTAAAAGTTTTTAATGATATAAACAACAAAACTGCATGATGGAATGTCAATAAAAATATTTCAAAACTTACCTATTTCTGCATCAGACGTTTTATCCATTTTAATAAATAAAAGTTTTGCTGAAGAAACTTTTCCTCCTTTTCTTAAAACGAGTGTTGTGGTTCCATTATATAAGGGAGGAGACTTGACTGTGTCATTTAATTTTAGATCCATATCTCTAATACCGACATGTGGGAAAAGTAATTAAAACATTTGTGAAAACTCGACTATAGTTAGATATCTAGAACAACATAATGTACCTACTAAACATAAATAAATAAAAACGTATCTCTTCTTGTTTGAAATTAGCCTATACAAGTATAAATTTCAACGAGGCCGTAGCTGCAGTATTTTGTGATATGACTAGAGCTTTTGATTGTGTCAACCTGGGAGTACTGCTATGAAAATTTTAAGTTTAAGATATAAGATATGTGGCTTTAAACTAGATGAAATCCTACCTTTTAGGTTGCAAACAGCTAGTATGAACTGTTTCAGACTCGCAAAACAAGCGACATAAAATGGGGATCCCTTAAGGTTCTGTTTTTGAGCCCACCCTGTTTTTAATTTATATAAATAATTTAGGTAAGTTGAATATCTTAGAATGTTTCACTCTATTTGTTAATGATACCTCTATCTTGTGGCATAATATGGATGATAATATTCTTCATACAATTATTAGTAACGACCAAAAAATCTTTTAAAACATGGTGCATTACAAATTTTCTTTTATTTAATTTTTTTAAAAATATACTAACCTTTAAATGTAATATTCCTGATATCGACACGGATTTGAAATTAAAATCTCTTGTTGATCCACTTTAAGAAAACTCGCATCGGGTTGTTATGCCATTAGAGTTATTGGATAGAGCCTTTATAATGCAGAAACGGGCAATAAGATTCTCATGTAGAGCACATGGATTAGTTTCATGTAGACCTCTGTTCTTAAACATGAAATATGATTAATCTTAGAAACTTGTTGCATGATCCATAAGGACAAATCGAAATATAAATCGAATATATCCCGTGTAACTCGCCAAATTGGTAACTTGAAGTTGCTTGTTCACATACTCTGATTACTCTAACACAATTTGAGTCACAAAATTGTTTGATAAAGTTGCTCAGGAGATTCCTGTTATAGGCCTTATTATGATTTTACCGAATTGTATAATGACGAGACAATCTGATATTATGGGTTTAGTTTTATTTTAAATATGTTAATGTTAATTGTGAGTTTATAATTTTGTATTTTAAAGACTATTTATTTATGCTTTATATAACAAATAGGATGTTCTTATTTGCGAGTGTCGAAATACAAAAAATGTATTGAATATATTCTCAAGAGTTTAATAAAAAAAATATATTGTGGCGCTACTGCGTTTCAGGTTGTGCCAATGTGAATGGACCTGTCTACAACACCTGTTTAAAACTGTATAACAGCAGCCCTCCGTGGTCCAAAGAACGCATGACAGCCAATAGCAAACAGATAAATCACCGCTAAAAGCTCCTCAGTTACCTCTTCAAAGCCTACTATGTTCGTAAACGGCTCTCATCATTTGACACTTCGTGTATGGAGTGCAAGGATTGCTGGATTAATATGTATGGAAGGAAGGTGAGCTTTTTAGGAATACGGGGAGAAATGGTGTTGAGAAAATGGAAGACTTGGGAGAATAGAATTCATTTTTGGTTTTGATATATCAGCAATGACATAAAATTTAATGGAAAATTAATGACAGAAAAATATCGTTTTCGAACTCTAGAATTGTAAAAAAGAATATTTTTCGTATCAATAATTTCTTCGTGACAGGGATGTAAATATTTACTAATTAAAACTTGTTATATGCATATTGTCAAAATTTAAATAAATTTATATTTTTCTATATGTATTTTGGGTTTAGGCATAAGCTATCAACATTTGGGGTTAAATAATAATAATAATTGGAATACCATTTTCCCATCGGATTAAACAAAAAATGGAAGAAATATATCTATAACTCCGTATCTCAATGATCTAAGCACTATAGTGTATTGTAATGTTTGTTTACTTTAAAACAACAGTTTATTTATTATTAAATTATTTAAACACTTATTTATTTTATAACACAACTATTCTAATTTATATATACTTCGAATGTCTTTAAACTGATCACTATTTATATTCACCACTGTTTATCTACTAATTACTATTTATCTTCACTGTCCATATAATAACTGATACTGATGGCTCTCCTCCACCAATTTATATACAAATTGGTGGTCTAGAATGCTCCCCCACCAAAATTTCCAGTATGTACCAGAAACGTTATCTCGTTGACCCTGGAATGTTCGCGAAAGTGTCTCCACCATAGTCGTCCCATAGATTTGGTCTTAAGGGGTTTAATTATGTATAATAATCGGGCAAGTTGAGCCTCAAAGGCCAAATAAGACAGAGAGGGACTTTTAGGGTTAGAGCATGACTGAATAATGAAATGGCTCACAAAACATTGCCCCCTCCTTAAGAGATAGTTCCTCCTGGAACTCTTACGAAACTAAACTGGAATGGTTGTATTTGCAACTGAATCCTCTTTTACAATTTCCAGTTGCATGGAAGTAACAAGGGACTGTCTTCGCTGTAACCTGGGCACTGGGCGAATGGCTGCAGACCAGTATTTGAACTCCGGTATCTTGAAAGATTACTTCCACCATGTTCCTAATGATCCTCCAATACAGCTGATTTCCTTCTATCTTTGGCATGGCTAGTTTTTGTACATTGGATTCCCGTACGTGTTCCCTTAGACTAAGTAATGCTTCCCATACATCCTGATAGGTGGATTGATCTTGGAAGGTGTTCTTCGTTATTAAATAAAAAAGATAACGTGACCCGTCTTGAAGTGTCAAGGTTTTTCCAGGGGCTGGTAACTGACATTGAAGTTCTACCAGTCGACCAAACTTCTTACGGAACACATATGCCAGTCCTCGCGCGTCGTTGATGCTGGCGGAAGTACTATGGACCAGCGAGTAGTCTTTCGGAAGTGAGAGCAGATCTTGTTGTTGCTCGGTCGTAACACCATATCTGGCTTTTCCAGTTCCTCCATATGCACCCATAAATTCTTTAAAGACAAGGTCTGGTGTTTCTTGAAGTTGGTTTACTTCTTCTTCATGGTCACCCTCAAATGGCGCCAGCCTGTTTGGTGCACTACCTTTGGTTTACCGTTTGGAATCTTACTTATACGGTAAATTACATCATTTATTTTATTCTTGATGAGGTACGGACCTTCCCAAGACCTTTAAAGCTTCGGAGAATAACCCATTT